CTGAGACAGTGTCCGCTTGGAATATTTCTAACCCATGTAGATAGTGGGGTGTTTACTAGACAGTAAAAAAACCGTTCTCACACCCAAGAACAATGTTCTCCCTCACATCCTCTTACAGGACCTCTTACGTCTAGACTTTCCCCCCCTTATACTCGCCTTTATTTCCAATCTCATCTCTCAACGTACCATCCAATTCGTGAATCAAGGTACGATCTCGGATCCAAGAACTTCCTATAAGGGCACCCCCCAAGGATCCGTCCTTAGCCCTACCCTCTTCAATCTTTACTTACGAACGGTCAATGATGTGCTGCATCCCTCCACTCAACTTCTACAGTTCGCTGATGACATTGTCATCTTCTCATCAAACAAAGACACACCAGCAGCCATTCACTCAGTAGAACAATCCCTTCACGCCCTCTGCACATTCCTGGGTGACCGCGGTCTTGAGATCTCAGTGCCTAAAACGCAACTAATGATTTTCTCTCTAAAGAGACCCTCTGTCCCGCCGAACTATAACATCTCATACCTTGAACATCGCATCCTCCCCTCCTCCTCCGTTCGCTTCCTAGGAGTTTTCCTAGACCCCAAACTCTCTGGCAAAAATCACATGTCCTTCATTATCAATAAAGGTAAGAAAATACTCCAAATTATCTCTGCTCTTAGGGGCACCTGGTGGGGAGCTCACCCTCATATGCTTATCTCCATCTACAGATCTATGCTGCGCGCTTCCATCGAATACTCTGCCCACATCTTCGGGCTTATAAATAACGATAAATCACGCGCCCTCCAAGTGCTCCAAAATCAAGCCCTCCGCCTATGCTTCGGCTACCGCATTTCTACTCCCCTCAACGTGATATACGCGGAGACTGTTGAACTTTCTCTCCCTTTCCGATTCCGTCTTCTCACCTCCCGTTACTTTATGAAAATCAGTTCGGTGCGTGATCATCCAGCAGTTCTTAAGCTCCATGAACTATGTGACTTGGCTATGCGCAAGAATAGAATGGACTATTTACGTGCCCATTTTCCAGCCGCACTTACTTTTCGTCACATCTGGACTTTCCATCAGGACATAGACTGCTCCTTCACCCTTCCTAACTTCCGGCACTCTTTCCACTCCACTATTACTTCTTCTTCTTATACTTCTCTATCAGTACCCTCTCTCGAATCCTTGAAACTTTTTCCTAATTTATGCGCACAAGCTTTATTCGACCACGAATTCTCTCATCTCACAGCTGAATCCACCGTATTCTACACCGACGGCTCCAAAGTCGATCATGGGACGTACGTCGGGGCGGCTGTTTTCTCCCCGCAGTTGCGCGCCGAACTTATGTACAGACTCTCTTCGTACACCTCCGTCTTCTCGGCGGAAGCTTACGCTATATACAACGCAGTTACACTATCTATAGATTTGCACCTGCGCAAAGTTTCTATCGTCACCGACTCCAAAAGCGTACTTGATTCTATTAGCGGATCCATCAACCGTACTAATAACTATCTCATCCCTCTTATTAAGGCCGGATTGGAGGAGGCTGAGGCCAATGGCACGCGAATACAATTCATATGGGTCCCCTCTCATAAAGGTATCACTGGTAACGAAAAAGCCGACCAACTAGCTAAAAGAGCTATCAGACAGGGCATTGAACCGAATTTCAAGGTGCCATACTCGGACATGTCCGCAGTCATCAAACAACGGATTTCTGATAACTTCTATCGTCACCTTGAATCTATGGCAGAAACTAAGGGTGCTTACTTCTTCACTCATATATTTCGTAAATCTTCTAAACCTTGGTACTTCCATAAGAAGATTTCCAGAGAGATCATTGTCATTCTTAATCGCCTGAGATCCGACCACTACAATCTTAACTTCAGCTTATACCGCAAAAATCTATTTGAAGAACCCTCTTGTCCCTGCGGATCGCCGCGACAAGACATTATTCACCTGATTTATGATTGCCCTTACACCTACGTCCAAGCGCGATATTTAAGACGCATGGTTGACCGTACCTCGAACGCCGGTGACAATGCTAATAAATTCTCGCAGGCCATCTCTGACCCGTCAGAATGCGTCTGCCGCCTCATTCTCAATCTTTGCAAAGCTTGTAACAGGCATTTCTGAGCTCGTATCTCGCGCCTCCCCGCGACCTGCGCAAAAAAACTAGTTAAGACTTCTGACGTTCCGACTTGCGGGTTATTGTAGAAGGCCTATAACGCTTGATATCTCGGTTCGCGGAGCAGAGCGACGCTTTTTTCTATCAGATTCTTTCGTTTTATGGAAAAACGCGTCGAATGAGCATAATTTCATCGATTTTTAAGAGGATCGACCTTTATTGCACCTTTACCTTTTTTTTCTAAGCTTTCAATCTCGGTTTTATAAAGCCAGTATTGTTTGTGCACGTTATGCGGTGAGTGGTGCAGTATCGTTTAGTCCATACGAGCTATAAAACTTTTATAATCTACATCAGTTAACAGCGCTACGTGTTGAAAAGATTTAAGTTTTTAACTTTTTTTCCGAATTTAGTACAAATCTATTGCATCACGACAGAATTTTGCATCCATTTTAACCCTGTAAAAGGATTTTTGATTCCGTTAAGTAAATTCGAAGATGTAAATTGATCTGCAAAATACCGACAATTTGGCCACTCCAGCATCCCCTTAACATATCAGCATATGTTTTATTGCGACATATGAAATATATGCTGATATGTTTAATCGATCCGTTTACAAATGTTTAATAATGCAAGTTATTGTAGATGCGATTTGTGATGTTGTTCGTTTATACATACTTGTTCATTTGTTTGCTATTTTTAAATTATTTCTAATGGAAATCTCTCATGAATTTTAATATTTTAATATTCTAATATTTTACAGATTTAAAAAATATTGAAAAAGATGTTTGACAATAAATGTAGGAAATTTTTGATCGCATGAGAGAACGCTTGAGTTTTTAATTATTCGGAGCACTTCTGGAGACAGGATCTCAATAAACTATTTCTTTCACCAATGGTCTTACAGAGAAACGTATGGCAGCATCCGTCTTCAATTTTAATGAACTTAGAGTATGTTGTTCTCCATATAAAAGTAAGAGATTTTTTTATAAGAGCCTAATTTCACTTCTAAGGGCTAAAACAACTTTTCAAAAAAATTTCTTTTTTTTCCTGTCGAAATATTTCCTGTACATATATAATCGAAACTATAAGAGAAAATTTATCAGAATGAAATAGCTAGAAGAGTTTTTATAATTATAATAAAATAAATTTTTATAAATTGTTTATTTATAAAACCCTTACCACTTAATATTTAAAAAATACCATATCTGCAAAACATATAATGTATACGAAAGATGCGATATCTGCAAAAAACGTTACGTCCGTAAAAGACACCATGTTTATTAAAAAATTGTAATTCAAATCTATCAAGAACGCAAATTTTATTTGTGTTCGCCACCTCTTGATCATGAACTAATGCTGACCAAATGGTTCTGTGATCTTTCTCTTAGGTTTTGTGCAAGTTGCGTAAAAGGGGCAGGAGATTAGCTGGAAGGAGATTGACGCGGTAATCTCACTTGCGAGGATTACACGCAGGTGCGATCCACTATTAAAAATTAAAAATAATTATTTTTAATTGTTATTATTAAATACAATTATTATTATTATTTATTAATATATTTATTATTATTATTAATTATTATCTTTCTTTATTATTATTATTATTCGATCTGAACGAATTTTTTTTACAGAGAATTATTTGAAAGGCATAAAATCACAACGCAAGATGTTAGACGCTATTATTTTATATTTCAATCGAATTACATTAATCTTTCATTTGATTACACTTGAATAAACGTTTCGGTCTTCCATTAGACCATCTTCAGTATTAACATAATTTTCCTACGCATATGCATATATCCGACAATTTTGAATTTAAAACACGTTATATCGTATAAAATTGATCACGTCAAAATGCTCGTTTAAAATAAATAAATTTTCTCAGAAGAATTAAATAAAACAGTGTAAATAATCCAAATTTTGTTTCGTCTTATGCTCTATTTTTTTTTCTATCGTCAGTGATTTCAGACATTGCTCTCGCGCTTTTAGATTTTACCACCAAACGCAGGGACGAACGTAGCAAATTTTTGGACGCACGTACGGGAGGACGCGCGGTATTCCTTAATTATTCGATGCCTTTCCGGGACCGCTATCTCAACGAAATATTTTTTTTTCTGTCATCAGTGATTTCAGATATTGCTCTCGCGCTTTTAGATTTTCCCACCGGACGCGGAAATGAATGTAAGAAATTTTTGGTCGCACGTACTGGAAGATGCGCGGGATTTCTTAGTAATTCGGTGCCCTTCCGGGACCGTGATCTTCGCTTGAAACGCCTGGACATACGTTACAAATTTTCGGTCACATGTATATATGGATGATCGTCAATTGTTTGTTATTTCAGTTTGAGCTTAATTTAATTGTTAAACGTCGACCAATCTCTGTTATCACACTTAATTAATTTGCGATATTACTGTAAATTGTGCTTAAAACCCGGTGGGTCCCGAAACTTTTTGTGTTAGGGTAATTTATTTATATATATATATATATATAAATCGATCGTTACTTGATTTAATTATCAAGCCTGCAGCCGAGTTGCACATTTCAACCAATTTTGCCTATCGTCATCCCCACTCTTTTTGTTTCATAGCATTTAGATCACGCGCGGAGACATTAAACGCTTGAACTCAGAGATGATATTAGCCGTAACTTATATAGGGCACTATAGGGCTATAGAACTATGAAACATATTGCCTCACATTCACTGTTTGCAAATTTTTATTATTGTAATTATAATTATAATTATTATTATGATATTAGAAACTCAATTTACTATGATAAAAATGACATTTTTTAATTTTTTTCAGTATGCAAACTTCATTAACATATGTGTTCATTTTGAAATGTTACTTTTGAGTTTTTAACATAATAATAATAATAGTAATAATAGTAATAATAACATTTGTAAATAGGGAATGTGACATAATGTTTTAAAGTTCCTACAGCCCTTTAAATTTTAATACTTTATTTTGAATTAATATATACTATCAACGACTAAATAAACGAGCAATACAAGATGTTTTGTTAAAATCTTAACATTAATTTAACATACCATTAATATAAACATAATAATCGACGTTTCAACTCACAGAGTCTTCCACAATACAATTAAATAAACCTATCTATTTCGCTTAACAATATTGCAAATCGAGAATAATTTCTCCATGTCAGTTGATGATTATTGATGGTGAACCAATTCAATTTTTAAATCGATGTCCATAATTAAAAGTTACAAAACCCAATTCTCGTTTGACGGCGAGAATTTTGTTTAGTCTCATAATGTAAGACTAATGTCAAGATTACTTTGTCTAAATCACATTAAATATAAAATTAATAGGAATTTTCATCAAACAAATTTTTATAAAAAAACACAAAAACTGTCATTAATGGTGTAATACGATTTCTTTCAATATATGATAACGCTTTTCTTTAGTCTCAAAGTGACAAGAACGAAAACGTCATGTATTGCTTCCTACGGACGATGGAAAATATATATACATCAGGGTTGTTAAAAAAACATGTTTTTTTTATTTTAAACAAAAAACATTGTTTTTTTATTTGGCACAATGTTTTTTGTTTTATTTTGTGTTTTTTTAAGCAACAAAAAAAACACGTTTTAAACAAGAAAAAAACATGTTTTGTTTTGTTTAAAATGTTTTTTTTTGTTGCTTAACAAGTAAAAATTATTGTGTGAATATTTGAATCTTTCGTCATTAAGAATAATAAATAAATGAAATTGAAAGAATTAGTTATTTTTATTTATTATTATTTTTAATTTATTTTACTATTAACATGTTTCTTATTGTGTGAGCGCTTTTCCAAAGTGTACGCGAATTCATTATCGACTTTATTGATTCTGCGGGTAAATCGGACTGATAAATCAGGAATACTGCATGACCTTTCGAATCTAAATATCATCTCAATGTCACATATCGCGTCGCACGTCGCGCTGGTGCCGCTGGCGCTAGTTTGCCCGTGCCATAACCGCATCGAAACAAAACAAGTACAAGTATCAAGCAAGTATGAGCGTGCAAATATACACGTGTTATTTGATTTATTTTATTCTAATTATTCCAAAGATCTGTATCCGAACGTTCTGGAATCTATCATTTTTACTATTTCATTTCAATTTCGTTTTTTATTTTAATTACCAGTCTACATGCTGCAATTCATCACGAAGTAAGTGGCAATAATGCAAATGTATAGTGTAGTTATTGGGTGCTTTCCATTTGATGACACAAGTCGACACAAGTGTCATTCTATCGTTGTCACTTTCTGAATGTCAAGAAGGATAGAACGACGCTTGTGTCGACTTGTGTCAACTTGTGTAGTTGTGCCATCAAATGGAAAGCATGCATTGTTGTCAGATTAAATTTTCACTATTTTCAGTCCTTAGTTTACACCGACTTTTTTCATTGTTTTATATATATATATATATATATATGTATATACCCAGGTAGCAAGCTACGTCATTTTGACGTCATTTTGACGTCAGCTTGCTACCAGGGTATGCTCATAACAACTAGCAACTTTCTATTAATTTAATACACATTACATGTATTTAATTGATTATCTTGATATTTAATGTATTATTTTAGTTTTTGGTACACCATTCTTTGAATACAGTACGCACACTGCCGATATTAAAATAATTTTATAGGAAATTACTAGTTAGTATGAGTATTGAACGATCAGCGTATAAACTAAATATAACATATAAATAAATAAAAACATGATTTTTGCAACATACAATTATTTTTTTGTTTATT